GAGGGCAAAAAGTGCTTTAAATTCAGGCTTTCTTAAGGGAAACAAATTTTGTGTGTTTTTTCAGACTGCAGTTTTAGGGTTGTTTGGTTTTTGTGCTCTTGTTGGTCTTAAACTTTTGTTTTCTGACCTCCAAAACTTGTGCAACCTCAATTCGTTGCAATGGTTGCCTTTTTTGGTCGTTTTCGTGTGCATTATTACACATTTACTGGCATGTATTCGACTGTCCTGATTCCACGACTTTTGAAATTGTCTGCCCATGTTCAAAGTTTTTCGCAGGGGTCGCCAGTGGCGAAGTATGCGTGACTTTTCATGGCACGTGATTAACTTGCAGGCGCTGACCCCTTTCAGTCCCTTTCTCACTCCACACTCTCCCCACACACACATACATATGCACATATTTGTGGGGTCAGCATGCAAATGACCATGGTCCACCGCCTGTTTGCATGTTATAAATACTTTCAGTTTGGTTTATGGGGCTCCGACTCATGGACACTTAGCCCGTTTTTGTGTGCGCTGCCTTTAAATGTGAATTTTACGGCTCTCACCTGCGTCCTTTCACTCGGTTACCTGGTACCTGTTGTTTGCCCATAACTGAGATTGCTTTTACATTTTGACGCCCGAAGTTGCCACCTTTAATGCGCTGCTCGCAAAAGTGTGCTATGAAAAGTGGAAAGCCATTGAATAACAGTGAAGCTGGTGTAAATCTAACTTTTCTGTTTTTGCTCTTGTTAACTTTTTAAACATTATACAATATTTGTTCTAGTGTCTAAACTCTTTTGTCTTAAAATAAATGCAAATCTGGTAAGCAAGTGTCGCTTTGGAAATGTAATTTCCTAAAATCTAAATCCCAATTAAAAACAAAAAGCTGGTCTTATTCCCATAACAAAAATATTTGTATTTTATATCCTGTGTTTCCGATTTTGAATCTTAATTAATTAATTCATGAAACTCTCTTGAACCGAAAAACCAATACCAATACCAACCAGTGCAACAGTTGGATAAACTGCTCAATCCCCTGCTCGATAATGAGTTGATGTCTGATGGCAAAAACAAGCAGCATCTGCAGGGCTGACTGAAGACAAACCACAATCGTCTGAGGTCTGAGTGGGGGAGATCTGGGGAATCTGGAGGGCCTGGCACTTGGATGCCAACGAGGCCATTAATGTGCAGCTGCGGCACTTGCAACTGCCACCGTGGGCTGTAAATTTGCTGGCATTGTCGTCGACGCTTACAAATTGCCACCAGGAGCTCCATGTGTGCATGTAAATTAGCTTATTTAAAGTCGATGGCGGCGGGAGTGTCCTTGGGGCGTCTATTGATTGCTGTTTAGTTTAGTGTGCCAATATCGACTCGTTGGCACATGTGGCAAGTGTCGAATGTGTGGTAAATGCAGTTAGTTGTTGAACGTCTGTTGGCGACATTTAAGCTGTGGATCCCATAAAGCTATATCCCCAAGTAATTAGCATAAAAAAGTTGTATCTCAAATGAGGGAAATCAAATAACTCTGATCATCGATAAATTGCGAGGGTTCATTTTGTTCCGATTTAATTGTCCTCGGTTTTGTTCACCTCCATTGTACATACCATTAAATGGTTGATAAATCACATTGCAACACATGGAGAGCGAGGACACAAAAAACAGAAAGCATGTGCTATATAAATTTACGAAAGGAATGTAGTCTGTGACAACCATTAAATACTCTATAATGAACTTGAAATGATTCTTGGACTGCAGATATTTGTATAAGATTCATGACCATTTAATGTATTAAACCATTTAATGAGTTAGAAAATTATACTTTGTTGGCCAACTGTAAATGAACAACAAGTTAGCCGTAATATACCTTAAATATCCAATCGTTAATCTGTTCAACACACAATACAAAAGCCCCCGACGGGAGTACACAATGCATTTGCTAATGCAAACAGGGGAGTAAATTCCGCGATGGGATCTGTTCAGTTATTTTGTGGACTGAAACCGAAACTGGAATGGCTACTCCATTAGAGCTAATCTCCGGTGTGCGTGGATTGTTTGCTTTTCGTGGCGCAGAAAAGTGTTCAGCGCCGGCTGCCCTGATTGTTTTTGATCGGTGGCTTTGTGGTCTTTGGCTGACTGGGTGTGAAAACAGCCACAAAATGGCCATAAAACATTACCCGGCAATAATAATAACGAAATCAACCAGAGCTGAGCAAACTGAGCTCATAAAACAAACACAAACACTTCCCGCGAGGAAAGGGACAACTGGACTATTTGCGGGGGATTGCAGCTTACCTTTTGGCATTAGGGTCAAGAGGGCGAACACTCAAAGAAAAAACTTACGAATAAAAATGTAAAATGTAAAAACTACACCTTTTCAAAATCGAACATTAATTTTATGAAAAGCTTTGCTTATAAAAATTTTCTATAACTACTGATAAAATAAGAATACTTTTGGGTGAAAGATCAATTTGTATCAAAAACGGTTTGACATCGAAAGCTAAGAAAAAACTCAGAAATTCGGAAATAATTATAAAGCGCGTTTAAGATTGAATTGTTAAAATAGTCGAAAATTGGCCCAAAATGCAACTTGCCAAAGGTATTGCAATATTAAAAGCAGGGAACTTTAAAAACTATTTAATTGAATACCTAATATTTTTTCAAGTGCCTTACTTACAAGGACACTTTCCTTAAGCACGACACAAACGGCTGGCCAAATTTGTCTCTTGGCTGAAATTCCTCTGTGCTGCAGTCCTAAATCAACATTTCCCCCAATTAAACCCGTGATTTGTGCGTCGCTGTGGCCACCTGCTCGAGATCTCTTAATGCAGGAGGAGTGCATCTTGGGGTCTTGGGATCCCCGCAGGATGCGGATTCGCCACATGGCGCCCATTAGTGTATGCTAATGAGTTGGCCGCGAGGCAAAACTCCGGTTTGTCGCCAAAGTTGCAGGCAACTCATTTGCGTGCGAGTACCATTTCATATGGCACACAAAGCCCGCTAATTGAAACCCTCTCAGGTTGCTGCTCCAGGTACCAGAAACCAGGTACCGTACACCTCAAATACCACACATCCTCATCTCCAGTTCATCTGGTTTCGGGGCTGCCTTTTGTTGCCTGCCATTAAAGGCGAATTGCTGTCGGATGGTTGCATAAATTGAAAGGGGCTGTCTGTGCCATCGCTTTTGCTTCTGCTTCTGCTGCTGCTGCTGCTGCTCGAACCATAGAAAATTACGTATACGCACTCGCACATGTCGTCGCACTGGGAGGACTGCCTCACATCTGGCGTGTGGGTGGTTGTCGGGCTGTGCTGCCGGTATACTCCTAAATTTATTGTCCCATTGTCGTTATGGCAGCGTTTGTTGCGCTACTTTCAGTCTTCCAATTTGTCGTCGACCAACTTTGGCCCGACGTATTTACTTTGCTCGCCCCGTCTTTTTGTCTATGGTCTTTTGGGCCAGCAAACTCGTTTAAAAAAGGATTTCGGCCCAAATGCTGGTTTAGATCTGGCCTTCAACTTCTAATTTGAGCCCAAATTTGAATAAAATGAAGCAACGTTCATCTTACATGGCTCAGACCCCCGCTGCCATCATTTTTCACAGACAGATAGATTTAAATTGGGAAAATGAACAGCCGAGATACATACTAGATAATAAATGTATTGGGGATGTGCATGATTTTATAACCTTATTTTAATTGAAACTTAAAATGTGTGTGTCAAACGTTCTTTAATGTTATAGAAAATCTTAAATGCATGTAAAAAGAATACTTTTATGAGGATACCAGGGAACGTAACTGTTATAAGTTTTATTTTAAAAATCACACTTTAACAGTTATTTTCTGATTTGTAAAGTAAAACTCAAAGAATAACTGTTATTTTTTGAGTTTTATAATAAAAGTTGACAAATAACAGTTAATCGTCGTGATCAAAATAAAACTCAAACTTGATTTATGGCGATTTTGTGGGTAAAAAAATTTTTAAAAAAATATAGGTATAAAATATGCGCGGTTGCCTTTTTTAACAAATTTTTAGTAAGTTATAAAAAGCACGGGTATTATGTTTTTTTTAATTATTTCATTTTTTCAAAAATGTCAAGGGAATAACTGTTATTCATAAAAATCAAAAAATAACAGTTATTTTTTGAGTTTTATTATAAAAATCAAAAAATAAAAATCATTACGGATTTGTAAACTACAATGGCTAATAAAAATTGTGGTGTATTTAAAAAATTTTTAGGACCCTTCTAAGTGCGTGATTTTTATACCCGTTACTCGTAGAGTAAAAGGGTATATTAGATTCGTGCAAAAGTATGTAACAGGTAGAAGGAAGCGTTTCCGACCCCATAAAGTATATATATTCTTGATCAGGGTCACTAGCCGAGTCGATCTAGCCATGTCCGTCTGTCCGTCTGTCCGTCTGTCCGTCTGTCCGTCTGTCCGTCTGTCCGTCTGTCTGTCCGTCTGTCTGTCTGTATGAACGCTGAGATCTCAGAAACTACAAAAGCTAGAAGGTTGAGATTTCCCACACATATTCTTTGGCTTCCTACGCAGCGCAAGTTTATTTTAGCCGAGCGCCACGCCCCCTCTAACGCCCACAATCCTTCACTAACGATTTTAAAATGGGTCCTGCGCCCACATCTTTAAAGATTTCCGAGAAGTATAAATGCAATTTTGTTGTGTATATTTATACCTATCGAAATGTAGAAGACATTTTTCAAATCGGACCATTCATTAAAAAGTTATACGCAATCAAAAATTATATATCTATCTCCCTCGCACTCCCTTTAGCTGAGTTACGATTATTAGTCGGGACACCAACCCGACACAGCGTTCGCACTCCCTTTAGCTGAGTGACGGGTATTAGATAGTCGGGACAACAACCCGACTATAGCGTTCTCTCTTGTTTTGTATGAAAAATTTACAATAACAGTTATTTTCGTTCCCTGGAGGATACCAGTTATGTTAGTAATAGTACAAGTACAGTAGCACACTTTGAGTGAATTGCCATTCCGGGTTCTGGTTTTTTAAGAACAGGCATACACATGTAATCTATTTTGTAAGCCAACAAAATGTTTCGCAAGATTGTGAAAAACAATTTGTCGTCTCGGTTGAAAGAGCAACTGCGTCTGGTCCAAGCAGTATCCAAAGAGGCGCCCAAACAGACGGAAAAGTCCAGAAAGTTGGGTCCAGAAAGGCCTCCCATTTCACAGACTCCCAAGGGTTACAAACCCAATTGCAAGAGCAAGTTTGGACCCTTGGATGACTGCGATCGGATCTTCCAGAATCTGTATGGTCGCCACGATTGGCGGTTGCAGGGAGCCTGTGAACGGGGGGATTGGCATCGCACCGGGGATCTCCTGAAGCAGGGTCCCGAATGGATTATGGAACAGGTGAGCAAGAGTGGATTGCGAGGACGTGGAGGAGCGGGTTTCTACGCGGGACTCAAGTGGGAGTTCCTGCGCAAGACCAAGTCCGAAAAGATACCCAAGGTTGTTATCGTGAATTGCGCGGAGGGAGAGCCGGGAACCTGCAAGGATCGAGAGATCCTGCGCCACGAGCCCCACAAACTGATCGAGGGCATGCTCCTGGTGGGCGTGGCCATGGGATGCGGCAGGGCCATTGTATATGTTCGGAATCGATTCTACAACGAGGCCTGCAACCTGCACTTTGCCCTGGCCGAGGCCTATCATCATGGCCTGTTGGGGGATAATGTCTGCGGAACGGGCATCAAATTCGATGTGATGGTCCAGCGGGGAGATCGGTATCTATGCGGCGAGGAGACGGCCATGATTAACTGTTTGATGGGTGAGCTAGGCAGACCACGACGTCGTCCGCCCTTTCTCACCGAGAAGGGTTACTTCAATCATCCCTGTCTGGTGATCAATGCCGAGTCCATTGCCGTGGTGCCCACCATCTTGCGAAGAGGTGCCGAATGGTGGGCAGGATTGGGTCGGAGTTACAATACGGGCACCAAGCTCTTTTGCCTCAGCGGTCAGGTGAATAATCCCTGCACCGTGGAGGAGGAGATGTCCATTCCGCTCAGGGATCTCATTGAACGACATGCCGGTGGAGTGAAGGGAGGTTGGGATAATCTGGCGGCTGTCTTTCCAGGCGGTCTGTCCACACCTCTGCTGGATCCACCAACTGCCGGGGAGGTTCTCATGGACTTCGACTGCCTGGTCTCAGCGGGCAGTGGCTTGGGATGTGGAGCAGTTATTGTGATGACCAAGGACATTGATCCGCTGGCCGTGATGCTGCGCTCCATTGAGTTCTTCGAGAAGCACACCTGCAAGCAGTGCACCTATTGTCGGGATGGAGCCATCTGGCTACCGGAGATGTTCGCCCGATTCGTCAAGGGTCAGACACATCCCCACGAGGTCGATTGGACACTGGCCATTGCGGACAAGATCCGGAATAGCAAACCCATCTGCGCACTGGCCTACAGCCAAGTAAGCGTGGCCGAGAGTTTGGTGCGATTGTTTGGACAGCAAATCGAGGAGCGCATCCTAAAGTTTGCAAAGGGATCTTGAACGCCTTGCAAATTGCTTTGAAATATCTGAGAAAATAAAATATATATGAATTCCATACCATGGAATCGCAAACATTTGCCATCATAAATTATACTTGGCGCTAGCTCGCAGATATTAAAAGTCGAATTTTTATAATCACTATGGACGGCAGTCCATGTAGTGACGAAGCGCACCAGGAGAGTGTGCGAAGGCGACTACTATATATACACGAAGAAATGAAAATCTACTGTGATGGTCCGATCATAATGAATAATACACCTATCGAAAGGTATTGCGAAAACTAACAGGATTGCATACCAAGACTTTAAGAAAATCAATTGGCTTGGGAGAGAGAGCGGTGAAAGTGAAAAAGTGAAAATTTCGAAATTTGGAGCTGTTGGGGCCGGTGGGGATAAATGCCCCTCGCAATATTTTAGTTGTATTCCTTTTGAAAATACCCGTCGAATGAGGGGTCATTTGTCAAAATCCGACTCTCCGTTCAAAAGTTATAGCCAAAATAAGATTTTCTTCTTCTTCCCAAAATGAAAATTTAATTCTGTTTGTCCACTTGTCCACTTGTCCAAAATATGTTTTTTAAGTTCTGAAAATTTGATATGACGTTCATCACATCGATATTAAAAACTTTTGTTCTACCACTTTTGGAAAAACCCGCTAGTTTAGCGGGAAAACAGCTATAAATAGCTAAAATTCGGAAAGCCGTAACTTATATACTACTAAAGCTACAGACTTGTGCTGCATCTCGTTTGAAAGGTATTTTTAAATGCTATAAACGCCTTCTATATGCAATTTGTGTAAATGTAATAATTAAAAAAATATGTACAAAAGACCATTTTTTAAAACTTTTTTTTTAGCTTTTTTTTATTTTTCTCAAAAACGGCTCTAACGATTTTCTTTAAAACCTTAAACTGTATAGCCCTTGAGATTCCTTAAATTTTGGTATATAACACATTACTGTAAAAAGTCACGTTTAAAAGTTATTTTTATACGAAAATAGCCACTTTTGCCAGCTCGAACAATTAACGCTCCCTGAGTATTGAATTTTGTGGGAGGGTATCCGAACTGTATTTTAGGGTCATGGAATCAGTAAATTTGCACTTAAGAGTTCCATATAGGAATCTTTTGTTCTACGACTTTTGGAAAAATCCGCTACTTTAGCGGGAAAAAGCTAAAAATAGCTAAATTTCGTTAGTTTGTAAGTTCTACACTACTAAAGGTACAGACATGTGCTATACCTCGATTAAAAGGTATTTTGAAATACTTCAACGCCTTTTTAACTTAATTTGTTAAAATACAATAGTTTAAAAATTATGATTGACCAATTTAAATTTAAATGTATATATTAGCTCCTATGAGAGCAAATGTAAACAAACAATAACTTCTGATATCAAATAAAAACACCTCTTAACGAGGTAAAAAACTAGTGACGACCGCACCTTCAACATACAAAAGTTCTGATATCAACATTTGTGACGAAAAATTATTACACTCGTCATTAAATAGACTTTCTAATATTTTCTCATTCGGCACGCTGCAATAGTAAATGCCTGTAAAGGGAAAAAGGCTGGAATAGTTTGCTAGGGCGGGCCAAATGAGAAAAGATTAGAAAGTCTATTTAATGACGAGTGTAATAATTTTTCGTCACAAATGTTGATATCAGAACTTTTGTATGTTGAAGGTGCGGTCGTCACTAGTTTTTTACCTCGTTAAGAGGTGTTTTTATTTGATTGATGATCTCTCGAAATTATGTGGTTGTTTATATACAATTAATGCTCATCATCGATTAGTTTCCTTATGGCCAAAAAGATTTAAACATGCAATCAAATTGAGTAAGAATTTATTTTCTTTTTATTTAGTGTACAATTAGTGTGTTTATTTGGTCAGGAAAATAGAGCAAAGCTAGGAATGCAAGGGGAAACTAAACCTATTGTTTAACGACAAAGATAGCGATTTAATTAAGATGAATGGCTGTGGAAGAGAGCTCAGGCTAATGCGGTCAAAGAGAAATAAATCTCTGGCTACTTTCAGTGGGGACTACAATCCCCTGTAGAGTTCAGAGGCCAGCCTGTGGAAAATGTTTCGGATGGGGGCTCGCAAATCATTGATGGCACACGGCGAATGATGACAGTTTAAACGACTGTTCAATCCGGGCTGTGTGGCCGACGCTTCTCGTTAGTTAGCTGGCTGCTCTTGGATTTCAGTTTGCGGCTGATGAGAGCTATTATGTTGGTGATGTCCTGGAAAAAAAGAGCTAAAAACCCAGGGAAATGGGGAAAAATCATGAAGGAGGTTGAAAGCTGTGTGAGGCGAGTAGTGGGTCAAAGTGGCAGAGGACACAATGTTGACATAAACAAACACCAGGGCATTTGTCTGCGCTTGAATGATTGCAGAGACAACAGCAGCAGCAGCAGCTTCAGCGAACACACAAAGATTTACCCCCAACACGGGGCCGTGTCCTTGGGCCCCTTAATCGTGTTTGTGGGTCAGTTTACCCTTTGCCCTTACCATTATCCTTTGCCAATAATCAGGGTTCGCCAGACGACACACTGCTTGCTGGCCGACATTGCTCTTGGCCCCGCTAATTTGTTTGGCTCGGACATCGCCGGAGAAAGTGCCAGAGAAAGTGTTATTTTTTTTTCTGTTTGAGTTGGCACATCCTGGGTTCATTTCTCATCGCCATCTCGGAGGCAGCAGCCTGCGTCACTCTTATCTCAATTAGGAGCCCATTCATCCAGGCAGGCGAGCACTTCTGCCACTTGACAACAGTGTCCGCAGAGGTACCTCCCACCCCAATTGGCAATGACTGATGGCCCCACAATTAACACTTACGGGGTGTTAAGGGTTACACTTTTATGAAGATATGCAGTACTTGCTTTAAATATGTTTAAAGTGCTGTAAATGATATTACGAAACAAGTTTTTAGTATAAGCTAAATATTTCGTAAATTAAAATATATTTTGTTATAAATATTAAATGACCTACCTACCTTCTTTATAAATAAAAAATGTATATTAAAATAACAAATATATTACATAAAACAGTTAGCAACGATAAGCAATAAAGGAAATACTGTTTTCATTCAAAGATTAAATTTCCATTATTGGCTGTTATACACTCATAAAAATAATTTTCTACATTTTAGAAAATCTCCCTAAAAAATTTTTCGCCTTTGAACTGAGAAAAATTTTCTATTTTTACGACAAATTTGCCATAAATTTAAGGCAGGTGACCATAAATAAATATTTTTAGGGTTAATTTTTCTATTTTTCTAATATTTAGGGCGATTTTTTTCGATTTGCTTCAATTTGACCTTTTCTAAATCCAACGGCGAATTGCCCTAATTTTTTTTCTAAAATTTTTCTAAATACAAGGGCGATTTGCCTTAAAAATCACTCCAAAAGTGTGAAATTCGGTAGCCCAGCGGTCTAATCACTTGCGCTTTCAACTTTGCTATATGAGGACTAAGGTTGTGGGTTCGAACCCTGTGTGATTCAACTTGATTTTTATGTTTTTTTTTTTTTTGTAAACATTATAATACTGAGGACATTTTTTCGTCCGAATTTTAAATTAAAGTATTCTTTAAACCTTAAAAACGTATGGGAGTTCTGAGTTAAAAGCATACTTTGTGTTTGCGGGCAAGAAAACGGGACTAATTGTCACAGTCGTCAGGAAAAAAAATATACGGTTTAGTTGCCTTTAGTCATATAACGTAGACCTCAAGAAAATAAGATGTGTGCAGAGTTTGTTCGTCGTCTTGCGCGAGGGGTCTGTGGTGCAGCGGTAGGACGTTAGACTCTAAACCGAGAGGTCGTGGGTTCGATTCTCGCAATGACCAAAAAAAGTAAGTTGTTTTTTCTCCTCATATTTATTTCCCTAATTCATTTACAAACATGATTTTTCAGTTCTAACGGCTGTGCTGTATAGATCGGGCCCCCCTCTCAACGCGGCTCCCATATAAGCTACACACCAATACAATAATATGAAACGGTGTCCTCCGCCGGTGTTGTTTAATTAAAGCAGTCCCAGTTCCCAGAATATAGACGATTAAAAAAAAAACATGCTTCCCAAATTCAGTTAAGCATGCTCAAACACGATTTTTTTTAATTTGTCTAATTTTTTAGGGCATTCGCCTATAAAAACAGAAAATTCGCCCTTAATTTTAGAAAAATACACCTTAAAATTAGGGCAAATCACCCTAAAAACAGGAAAATATTTCTTATTTCAAGAAAAATCACCCTAAATTAAACCAAATTTCCATCGGGATTTTTTAGAAAATTTTTCTAAATACACGGGCGAATCGCCAGCGGATACGATTTATGGGCGATTTTCTAAATCCACGGGCGAAAAGTCAGTTTTTTAGGGCGATTTAGGGTAAAAATTTCTATGAGTGTAGGAATGGGATTAACGCTATCCACCTGGAAACATAAATAGGTAACTTTCACATGTGACTGAAAAGAATACCTTTTAATTATAATTCATTGGGTTCTTTCTTCTCCAAAATGCCGGAAATACATATGTGTTTCCTTTATTCTCAGAACATTTTTTAGGCGAAAGCTAAGAGGATTAGAATCACGCTGTTATAAAACAAATGACGAGGGCAACAGAGAATAATGTGGACTTGAGGGGGTGAGGGCATCGAGCACATGCCTTGGCACATGGCTCCGGTTCTTGTTCTTCTTTTTGTTCTGGCTCACCCGGAGGCAGGTCCTTTCATCCTTGTCTCCTTTCCGTCGCAATCATTTGCGCGCCAGTGGGGGAAAATCTTTAAACAGTGACGCAAATGCGGGCTGGCGTATAAATTTCACACCCAGCTAGACTCGTTGGACGCGGCAGACTGATTGTGGCACTCAGGAACAGTCCTCAAGTGGTTGTAGCATGGCTCACTGCAAATTGCGAATAAAAACCGCTGGAAACTTGGCTTGGTTCGCCCAAGTTTGTTGCAAGTAGTTGCGGTACTTGATACGCGATTGATATGGCCGTACCTCCAGCCAGTTAATCACATT